TGCTGCTCATAGGGGGTCATATGATTGTTGGGCTTTTCTCTGTATCTATGAAGCGCCTTGAGGCGACTTTTGTTGTAATTTGGCGCTATATAAATAAAATTGAATTGAATTGAATTATAATCTGCTCGACTGATCCAATTAATGCCCGTGCAGTTGAATGGTTCAGTCTGAATCCATACTGACTGTCAGATGTTTCTGGTTTTCTGGTTTTCCCCTGGTTGTGGTCTCTTGTGATTACTGTCAAACTGCAAAAACTGGAAAAAAAAAATTATTGAAACTATTATCAATTAGGGTGGCACAATAAAGTGTAATTCTGTTTGGCCTAGTGATTTTAGGATAGCCCAACTGTTGTGTTAATTCATTCGTTTTTTATGAGTTTTTTTAATTCAACAGGACAATGTTAAAGTCACCATAGATAAATATATCTGATTTGATATAATTTGAACGCTAGACCCTGGTGCTTTATATATACAGCAAATATTAGAACATTTTTTTACATTCCTTGCAAATTTCAATTGTTATACATTGACTAATAAGTTATCAAACACAGTTATCATAGCTTCCACCACCTTGTAATCTATTTTTTATCCACGTACACAGCCCCCCCCCCCCCCCCCCCCCCCCCCCCCTCCAGTTGAAAGTCCATCCCTGTTTCTGCATTAATCCATATTTCAGATACAGCAATAATTTTGAAAGCTTTTGTGAACTGATTTAAATATTCTTTAACGTTATTGATCATTTATCATTATCATTTAATGGTGTGATTAAACTGTTCATCACTGTGGCAGCAACAGCTGATGTCTTCAGTATTGGAGAAGAAATCATTCTCTGGGTCTATTTCCTTTTTCAGGTCTGAAACATTATGACCTGTGTATTGTGTATGTATACAGAATTCCATTCAATAGAATAAGAATAAATACCTTAATTCTCATGTTTAGCATTTACTTGCTAAATTTTGTAAAAGCAAAAGCTTGCAACCAACTTACAAATTTGCTCTCTAAATCCCAGCAGCAGCAGTCACTGAGGTAGCGAACCACTAGACCTCTGATGAAGTCAATGAGCAGGATGCTCGCCACTGTGAAGATCATGTCAATGATGGACAGCTTCAACATCTCCTAAAGACACAATATACACATATTCATCAGGGAAATTTACAAATACTATATACAAGTATTTTATTTTACATACACACACACACACATATATATATATATCATATATTCCAGGCATAACATTATGACCACTGACAGGTTAAGTGAATAATACTGATTATCTCTCCTGCTACTGGGTGGAATACATTAGTGAGCAAGTTAATATTTTGCCCTCAAAGTTTGGCAAGCGTAAGGATTTGAGCAACCTGAAGGACTGGTTCAGAGGAGCTCCAAAGCTTTTGGGGTGTTCCCACTTTCACAGTTGGGAACCAGCGATAGGGTCATGGGCTCGTGTGGCTCATTGATGCACATGGCGAGGAGAGCTTGCCTACGTGTTCCGATCTAACAGATGAGCTACTGTAGCTCAAACAATTCTGAAAAAGTGGTTCTGATAGAAAGGTGTTAGAATACACAATGCATCACTATCATTTGATGTTTTGGCAACAGGCAGGTGGTCATAATGTTTATACATATTTTTATCATTTCCACAAATATACACCGTTATCCAATCAGAAAGCAAAACCTGTCCAACATAAGTCTCCCAGCACTGATCCTGTTGTCGGGTGTTCTTTTCAAACACAGCTGTCTGGTTGTAGACGTCCCCTGAGCTGCTCCTGCTGGTTACAGCCAGCACTGTGGCGATGGTTGCTGTGGTGCTGTTGTGATTCTCAGAGAGGGAGATATCTGACACTAGGGTGGAGAGGCTGTTTCCCTCAGGATGAGATATTGTGGCCAGAAAGGAGCGGGACTCATTCCAGTTACTGTTACTCACGTGGACCTTGAAGACAGATCACAATCCATACAGCTGTGTGCTATGCTTTAATTATATGAGTGACTTCAAAGGTATTTCTTAATTCAAGGTCTGCATCCTTAGAAGCTCCATGATGACCGAGAAGGAGCTTCTTCTCGAGTGGCTCGAGTGAGTGGCTGTTAACGGTCTAGTCCAACTGTGACAGTAGCAACTAGATATATGTTGGACAACATTGTTTGAAAGAAACAGTAACAAGTCTTTATTTTATTCAAGTTGCTTTACTGTTACTTGAAAAAACTAAGATATTTAAATCGGTGTGTGATGTATCTGAGGCTGAGAGAACACCGTGGGAATATAAAGACAAGAGTCCCTTTAGACCAGAGTGTTAACTTTAGCCAAAAAACAAATGTGTACAGCAGCACAAAAGTAGCAATTATATTAGATCCTACAGGTTGGTTTTATTAAAATATATATATTTATGCACATTTTGAAAAATGATCCAGGGAGGTATTTAACTCAAATACTGCAGTCCAGTTCAAATTCATGAAACACTTAATGATTTAAATTTACTTTATGGATCTATGACTGACTGTTTCAGGTAAAATGAAGGGTAAACTCTTTTTTCTTAGCTCATCTGTATTCTCTTTATCACAGCGTATTTGTGAAAAACAATGCACAAACTATAGTTCCTAGTAAGTCTAGGAAAAGATACACAAATTATAATACAGACAACTATTTTAATTGTCAGCGATGTAGTGTATTGATTTGTTAGACAACATTTACTTGTGATTAATGGCAGTTTCCACCAATTAATGGTTTCTGTTAATAAATGAGAATAACCTAAGTTATGTGTGAACTTAGGTCAAGAAAAGATGTTTAAAATGATAAAGATACTAAAATCAATTTATATA